GTTAATATCCCCTTCTCACAGACATCACTGGAAAGTTTGTAGTTTGGTCGGATATTGTAAAAACAAGTAAAACAATGCACAAGTTACGTTACTTAACGGTATGGAGAGAGAGAGCGCACTTCTGTTGCGTGATCTTTGATGTTCGCTCACTTAGCACACGCATCATTTGGATTAAAACTAAATCATAAATATAAAACAACATTTATAGGGGCATTCACTATAAACAACATAAATTTTCAACCTTAAGCATACACTTCTTTATGGCGAAAGTGAAACTATCAGCCAGTGTAAATGCCAAGCGGCAACCTTCCGGTCTCTCTCGTGAAACCAACACGGAAATGACTAAAACTTCAATTCATCGACTGGCCGCTAGAGGCTGGCTCCAAAAGGGAGTCAGTCCCATAGACTCCCCATATTAAAATACCCAATTTTACAGCAGAAAAAAATGTTTACAGCCTGGTACAAAAAGTTTTTGGTCTATATAGCTAATTTTGCCCTTCATGACAACTGTGAGGGGGGTGAATTTTTTTATAACTCATCCGTTTAAATTATATTAAGCGTCTCATTCAGAGCTTCTGCTGTTTGTTTCGTTCAGGCATGTAGTGTAATTTCACAAAGCTAGTCAGAACATTCTGTTTTTGCTTCAAATTGGGTTATTATTAAATCAAATTATGTATATGAAATTATACTGCAGGACAGCCCACATTTCAGAAACAATTCAAAGAAAAAATAAACAAATACTACTGTTCCAAATATTCTGTATGTTGCTCAAAATATATTGTGTTCAGTTTTTTTTTTACCCAGACACAATACTGTGATATTTTTGCTTAAGATTATCATGCCGTCAAAATCTCATACCGGCCCATGCCTAGCTGTACTGTACTTGTCCCTCTCATTCTGCACCAATACAAATACATGTGCGCATGTTTTGCTTGCTTCATGAGTGTTTCTGTATTATGTGAGTCGCTTTGAAGCACGTTTCAGATGAAAAAACGTTACTTATATTTCTGAAAGATTTATAATGAGTGGTTCCCTGCGTTATTACAGCAAAACGCATGATTACAGTTCTGAGCCGCTGCAATGGAGCAGCTCTAATGCTATTAAATTTAATATGATGCACCATAGAGCAAAAAATGTACAGGGAAAGTAACTAAAACTTGTAAAATACATTTTAATGGGCATAATTAAGTGTGAAAATAACTGAAGGATATCTATTTGATAAATTAAGTTAACCTACTAACATTATACATATTCTTTTGATTTCTGTACCCAATATTTAAAAAATTTACAAATACTATGAAAATACCGGTATCGGTAAGTACCAAAAATAAAAGTATCGGTATCGGCTGAGTACTGGAAAAAGTTTTTTTCAGTGAACATTTTATTTCAGTTTAACTGCATATTTATTTTATTTCAGCTTTATCTCCATTTTAGTCAACAGTAACAACACTGGTATCAGTTCGATATTTGATAGTTGGACATTTTATGTTTTTATTTATTTATTTTTATGCATTTATTTTAATTTATTTTATCCTGTTGAAGGCATGCGTGTTCTTGAATTCTGTCTGCACTATTTCTTTAATTAATTTAGACAGCCAGTGGCGTAACTTCTCATGCTGTTGTTTTGGTTGGATTTTATTTTAGACATCCCACACCATTTTACAGACAATGTGTCAAGTTAAATACAGTTCTACTTTTAAACAACCGTATGTTCTGTTCCATTCTGTCGTTCCCCATACAGCTGTTTTTGAACACATGAACACATCTTATTTGAACATCTCCTAAGAAACATGTCTAATCGGTGTCTGGTGGACCATAATTACACAGAGCTTTCTTAAGACTGACTCGTCGTTCAGACAACACAATGAATAGTTGTAATGAATAGAAAAAAATATTTTGCACATTTGTAATTCTTAAACTCAAGGACTAAAAGTGGTTCATTCAGTTCATGTTGAGAATTGTAGTTACTGATTGCACCAAAATTGTGCATTCAGTTGGTCAAATTATAAAATCTAGTTTTGTGGTGTTAATAACTGGAAATGCGTCATCGCAGTGTGTGAAAAACCCGTTTGAATGACTTTCTTCTGTGGAACACAAAAGATGTTAGACACAAAAAAATAAAACATAATATACCTTTATGACCTGCGCACTATATTCTTGATCGCTATCAAGTACAGTTTTTGTTTGGATGGGAGGAGTATGGATAGTGCTTTTTCGTTTCATTATTGAAGTGAATTGTCCTTGAAGTTAACATTGGTACAGCTCTTTTTCTGACTCAAGTCTCTGTGTCTGCTCACCTTCAGGTAACAAAGCAAAAGGACTACAGTGGGTAATAGATGTGACCATAGCCTACCCTAATGCAAGACCCATGGACATTCAGACATGGATTTTTGGTTACAGGGATCCAACAGTAACACATGTACACTACAGGTAAGGACTGTTCTGTAATATAGTTTTGTATCTGCAAATGTCTCAAAGGTAGGGGTGTGCAATCTATATCGTCTGCGGTAATATCGTAAAAAAATAAAACATAATATAGACCTTTATGACCTGCGCACTATATTCTTGATCGCTATCAAGTACAGTTTTTGTTTGGATGGGAAGAGTATGGATAGTGCTTTTTCGTTTCATTATTGAAGTGAATTGTCCTTGAAGTTAACATTGGTACAGCTCTTTTTCTGACTCAAGTCTCTGTGTCTGCTCACCTTCAGGTAACAAAGCAAAAGGACTACAGTGGGTAATAGATGTGACCATAGCCTACCCTAATGCAAGACCCATGGACATTCAGACATGGATTTTTGGTTACAGGGATCCAACAGTAACACATGTACACTACAGGTAAGAACTGTTCTGTAATATAGTTTTGTATCTGCAAATGTCTCAAAGGTAGGGGTGTGCAATCTATATCGTCTGCGGTAATATCGTAATTGTTGTTTTAACGATGTGCGATTTGACATTATCGAGTATATTGCAAAAACCAAACAAAACACATATACTAAAAGCGTCTGCTAAATGACTAAATGTAAATGTAGAGTGCACGCATTCATTACATGATGAAGTCTAGTAGGTTAGACAAGTGATTCAGTCTATTAAAATGCATTTAATGATCACAAAATTCAAGATATGGTGGCAGAAAATGTATATATTTATACCATTCCATATAGTTAATCAATATCACATGAAGAATGCAGTTTTTTTTGATGATTACAAATGTGATATGGATTTTTACAACAGTTCACTAAACAAGAAGTTAATTAAGAGATTTGCATTATTGACAGCATATTGCCTGTTTTTGCTCAATTTCGCCAACAAAAATAGCAATATCCAAACACAGCCACAGCACTGTTTTGCGTCTCAACATGACTGTGTTTCGTTCCTGAATGAATCAGCCGTTTAAATGATTCGGTTCAATTGCAATGACTCACTTATTAACAGTGAGTTCCTGCCACCTACTGGCACTTTTAATTTCACATTTAAAAGTATCTTTTCATTTTTTAAATTATTTGAAACATCTGTTTTCAATGTTTCATGTTTAAAGGGGTCCTATTATGCTTATTCACTTTTTAAATTTTAGTCAGTGTGTAGTGTGTATGTTTGGGCATAAAAAAGATCTAGAAAGTTACAAATCTCAAAGTCCACTCCAAAGGGAGATATTTCGTTTTTTTTAAATCCCTTTTCAAGAACTACAACGAACGGCTCGTTTGGACTACAGCGTTTGTTTTCCGGGCTTTGTGATAGGGCTGCACGATTAATCGAATGCGATTGTCATGCGCATTTTGATAGTAATGCTGGTTCTGTAATCAGCAGGAAATCATCATCACATGCTTTCAGATGGAGCAGAATTTACTACACATAGCCGTAGTTCACTGACAAGTTACGCAAAAAAATCGCAGACGATTTTATTGCGCGATTCTGAAATCGAAGAAATCGTTCGCGATAATGACAGCTGTTTGCATAGCTTCTCAGTGAACTACTGCTCTATGAAGTACATTGCTCCATCTGAAAGCATGTGAAAATACCACATTTAATAACATATTTTTACTCCAAACTCACTTCATAACATCAGTCGAGTGTTTGAAATAAATCCGTCTGTGAGATGATGTGGCTTCTTAAACAGAATAAGGCACGCAACATATTTCATAGTATTTAAGCAGTGATAAAGGCATAGCATTATAAATATACTTTATTTTAATAAAAATTATAATAATAAGAACTC